TGTACTGAGACAGCACATATTACAGGGCAGAGGCTGTTAAAAAGTTTGGGTCCTGAAAACGTTACAATAAAGCCCCTTTCACCCTCCAATCTTGAGACAGTAAGTCTTGCAGTTCTCCCTCATCATCGCTGTCAGCATTCTCCTCTTCCTTTTTCTGCAGTTCTTTTATGGTCAGGACCTCTTTTAGTTTATTTTTTATTTCATCCTGGCGATTCCGCAGCTTTTCTACCCGACGGTAACATTCTATTTGCTCATCAATCTCCCCAATCTGGCGGTCCAGCCGGCCCTCCTCATCCTCTTCAGCAACTATAGCTTCGGAAATCGTGCTGACCTGCCTCATGGCTTTTTGAAATTCGTCCCACTCTTTGTCCATCTGATCCTTTGGGGCATCAACCTTGCGGACCTTGGCATCTACCTCAGGGTCGTCAAAAAATCCTTCCGGTAATGCTTCCGCAGTATTTTCTCTTCTTTCCACCACTTTTTCATGTATTTCTGCTTTCTCGATTGACCCTGAATGAGGAACTAAGGGGGCCTTGGGAGGATTTGTATTAAAGGAATCGTTTGGCAGCACACTACTTGTTGCGTCCCGCGAGGAGCAAAGTGAGTGTTCTTTGCTCGGTGGGTCTGGCAGCTGCTTGCTACCGCCCCCCAGTTTTCCTTCTCCCTCCTCCTCCTCCTCTTCTTCCTCGTCCTCATAATCAGGGAGTAAACCGAGTCCCAAAAGCTTACTGGGGGTCGCTCTCGCTGACTCTTTTTCCGTTTTATCAAGGGTGGTGGACGATGTGGAGGGCTGTACCTGAGGCGGCTTGGCTCTCTTGGCATCCGGGTTATCAGTGTCCGGCGCTTTCCTCTTTGTGGACTGAAGCGCCGCGCCGGCAGCCGGAGCTGGGGTGCCACCTTTTGCGCCTTTCAGCTCTGCCACTTTTTCTCGGTGCTGCTTTCCCAGGACGTGGGTCTGCCACAGAAGCTCGCTCTTGACCGGGGTGTTACAAAGGGCACAACTCAGCTGCCCCAAAAGGTTGTATTTAGCGAATGGAGATTCTACCTTCTTGCAGTTAGTGCTCTGCCGCTGCTTCTCCTTCATCAACCATCTCAATTCTTCCTGATTCACCACTCTCTTCCCAGCCGGAGTCTGAGCGGAGGTGGAAGATGCCATCTTTGCGACCAAACCTCCCACCTTACTTTAACTTAAATCTGATCATGCATGCTTCAATCTAACACACCCCAGCGAGTCTTATGCCATATCCAATAAACCTTCAGGAAAATAAAACTTTTCAAGGGTAACCCCAGACCCACTTGCTGGAATCCTTGTCACCACCCCTGGACAGCCCAACTATTCCAACTCTATTATACGACGAAAACACCCATTAAGCAATTTCCCTCTCTGCTGATGTCTGAAAATCTTGTAAGTGAGGCGCTCAGGCTTTGAGAAATTCTGTACCAAGAACTTCCAAATCTCTTCAGGAAATTCAAAGCATCTTTAGAAGAATCACAATTTGGAAGCGAGGTGAGACACTCTATCATAACTTGGAAGTCATGAAGACTGCTTCCTTTATTCCTGAGTCCTACTGTCCCCCACTGGAGCAAACCCGTTCCTGCAAGGGACTGCAGCTCGCAGATCAACCAGAAACCTCGGTTTCCCTTCCACTTCAACCCTGACCTGCAGCCGGTGAATCCCGCCCCCTCCGTGCCTGCGGACCAATCAGAGGCGGTCTCCCCGCCTCCCAGTTCCCAAGGTGTCCGCCCAGTCCCTCCCTTCTCTCACCAGATGTGAGGTGGCTGGTCCAGACGGTGGAAGCGAGTGGCGAAGGACAGCAGCGTTACCAGGACCAGCAGTGCCTGCCGGCCTGTCCCCTCGAAACGCCGCGAGCCCGGACTCGGCCGTTTCGGGCTTCGCGCTGCAGCCTGGATGGCCCCGTCCCGGCCCACAGCCCGACCAGCCCGGGGCCCACAGCGGCTCCTCCGGAGCCGCAGCTCCGCCCCGGCCAGGCCTCTGCCTACGGCCGGCGGCATTCTCCCCCACCTCAGAATGACCCTCCGGTGCGGAGAGGCGCTCTGTCTCGTCTGCTGCCCAGCCAGGGAGTCCCCAGGGGGCGGCCCGGGCTGCCCTGGGAAATGTAGTTCCCGGCGCGGGTGGCGGCCCGCCGGGCCCCGGCCTCGGGGCGGGGCGGGGAGCGAGGTCGCCGCCCGGGCGGCTAGGAGGCGGCCGGAGGCGCAGAGCATGGCGGGAGAGCGGGAGGCCGAGAGGGCCGGCTCAGGGAACTGCAACTCCCGGCGGCACCGCGCGCGGGGGCGGGGCGGCCAGGCCCATCCTACGCCACCGCCCCTCGCTTCCTGCGGTCTGGGCCGTGGTCTGACTCGGGAGAGTTTAACTGGGCCTCGATCTCCGGCGACTGCCGAGCGGGCGCGAACCTTCCTGGCTGGAAGAGGGGTCGCCAGGTGTGCGAGATGCAAGCGGGGAAGGTCTGTGCCGCGAATCCCGGGAGAACCGTGCAGCGAGGCAGGTGTAGGGCCAAGGGTGCGCCCTCCGCCCAGCCAGCGGCTCCCACAACGACTCCCGGCGTGCCGTGCGTGCGCCGCGCCTGACTCGCTCTGCGCCTGCGCGCTTCTTGCCTGGGTGGGTGGGCGGCGGAGGGGAGGGCTGAGGCTGCGCGCTGGCTGGAACGCGTTTGGCGGAGTGCGCTCGAGCTGCGGGCTGCTGGCTCTTCCTGGTCTCATCTAGGGCTTGCACATGTCTCCTCGTGGTCCCGCACAGCGATGCGTACTCGTTTTTCGGCCAATCAGACCCAACAGTTAACCTTCCAGTGGTGTTTGCATTTTAATTTTTGTTTTTGCAGTACCAGAGATCAAACTCAGGACCTTGCACTTCCCAGGCCGGCACTTAAGCCACTGAGCTATCTCCCTGGCCCTAAACAATTATTTTTTTCTTGCGGTACCAGAGATCGAACTTAGGACCTTATGCTTGCCAGGCAAGCACTTACTCCACTGAGCTATATCCCCAGCCCGGTGTTTGCATTTTAAGAGAGCTCCAGGTAGAGGGAAGGCTGTAAAGCCCTCTCCTCACCTTGGGGAGCTTCCCAGGTGTAATGCGCACTTCCTCCAGCCTCTAAGTTAACATCTGGCAGAAGAGGCAGAGAATCTGTTTTACAGTTGGCCAAAAATCTCACAGTCAATAAAGTTTGAGAACCACTGTTAAAAGTCCTAAGGAAGGTGGCACATGAAGTGGTACCTTCCATCATAATCGTGTTCTGCCCTCCCACTTGCAGTCTTTCTGGAAATTTTCATGAAAGGTGATTTAAAAGGTGGGGGTGTGACTCAGTGGTAAAGTCCGTTCTTACTATACATCAGCATCAAGGTTCGATCCCTACTACTGCAAAATAAATGAATAAAAAAACTTACTGGTCTTGGTTCAAGGGAGGTTAAGAACAGGGAATGTTTTTTTCTCTTTATTTATTTGATACAGGGTCTCACTATGCAGTTTGGACTCGTAGTGATCCATCTGTCCAGCCTCCCTAAGTGTGGGGATTATAAACCACCACCCCTGGTTTCAGGGCCAGCACAGCCTGCGGTACTGGGGGATCAAACTCAGGTCTTTGTCCTTGTCTGGCAGATGCATAGACCTCTGAGCTATCTCCCCAGCCCAAGAATAGGGAATATTTATTGAAGGAAAGATAATTGGGGCCGGGGAGATGGCTCAGTGAAATAAGCGCTTCACTGGCAAGCGCAAGCGCAAGGGCTTGAGTTCAATCCCTGGTTCCACAAAAAAAAAAAAAAAAAAAAAAAAAAAAAAAAAAAAAAAAAGGTTGTTTAAAAAGAAAAAAAAAAAAAGATAATTTCTAGCTAAGAGAGACAGAAGGAGGCCCAGAAAGTGGGTTGCTAAGGACCCCACTTTTCAGGGGTAGTTTTATAGAGCACAACCCCTGGGGACAACTAAGTGTAGCCACGGGGGAAGCAGATCGCAAAGCAAGTGTACAAAGATTCGTTCCAGCAGTGATAAGAAGGACTGACATGGTGGACTCCTAGCTAGACTGTACTAAAACAGGTGTTACCACTTACCTTAGGCCTGGCCTCCAACTGATGTGCCTCCAGCCACAACTGTAATGAGTTTTCATTTTTGCTTTGACTCTCTCAAGGGCCCAGCCGTATTTCTGCCTAACTTAGCTGTCTATCATATCACTTTCACTCCAGCCTGAGTCAGGAACCTTCAAAGGGAGAAAAAAACAAACAAACTGGGTTTGTATTCTGAAGTAATTTTTTTTCTTCAAAGAACAGTTTTAAACATCTTTTGTTTCCTTTTCTTCTCTCTACTTAGTTTCACTTGTCTTACCTCAGCATGAGAAAACTCCAGATTGGCAAGAGTTGCCCTTTCTGACCAGTGTCAAAGTTCCCCTGCTGCCTGTTTAGAGCAGCTCCCCTATTGGCTCATGGGACCCACCCCTTCAGGGTTCCTCCCTGCCTGCTCTGTGAGAAGGACATTCCTTGGGAGACTGAGGGTCATCACAGCACCATGACTAGCAAGGTGAGGCAGGCTCCTGTGAGCCACTCCACCCTCAGGAACTCCTGCCAGCCTAACTGGGAACCATGGGGTCTCGTGTGACTCTCAGGCCCCTGCCCTATAGAGCTCTGAGTCAGCCCTGAGTTACCTAAGTAGACTTGGGAGAGAAGGCCCCAAATAATAAGAAGAAGCAGGTGGCTAAGAGGCCCTGGTCTGGTGGCTGAGACCTTTCTGGTGAATTTCTGGGGCTCGAAACCCACTCAGCCTAGATTAACATGTGCCTTTACCCTCTGTCTCCTCAGCCCATTCTCTATTCCTATTTCCGAAGCTCCTGCTCATGGAGAGTGCGAATCGGTAAGCACTGGGCACATGGGTGGCATGGGGTGGAGAAACCTTAGGTATAAAGCTGGCCTGGAACAAAAGGGATACTCAGTTGGGCAGGGCTTCATGCTGCAACCCATGTCCCTGGTCTCCTGGATCCCCATCCTTGAATGGCACCTCCCAGGAAGCAAGCAGGGGCACAGCAGGTGGGAGGAAAGGACTTCCACTTTCCTGGGCTGCTCTCTGAAATCCCTCAGCAACCTTGCTTAGGGCAAGTTCACAATATCTACAGGTTCCTGGTAACTGGCAGGGAAACAGCTGGCCTCCCTCACCTCTTATCTTTGATCTGGCAAATTAAACAGAACTGGTTGGTATCAACTACAGAGGATTTAGTAGAACAGAAACTAGGGCCTGCTCCTTTAGTCCTAAACTGGACCCGTTTTCTCCCTCAGCTTAGCACCATTCTTGGCCAAGGCTCATAGCCACAGCAGCTCATATGGAAGTAGAACTCTGTGCTGAGTGCTTTTTAAAAAGCTTATTCTGATTGATTGATTGGTTGAGCCAGGGACTCAGTATATAACTCAAACTGGACTTGAAATAACTGTGTAGCCCAGGCTGACTTCAAACCCACAGCAATCTTTCTGCCTCAGCCTCATGAGGGCCTTTATGTCCCTGACTCACTTTTAACCTCAACCCCCCTAATAGGAGGGACTACCCAGGCACAGGAGCATTACATAAGGAAACCCTGGGGCCGGGGAGATGGCTCAGTGGAATAATCGCTTCCCTGGCAAGCGCAAGGGCCTGAGTTCAATCCCTGGTTCCGACAAAACAAAACAGACAAAAAAAAGGAAACCCAGGCACAGGAGCATTAAATAACTGACCCATGCAGCTGATGAGAGGTAGAGCTGGAGTTTAAACCACATAATCTGGCTACAGAATTCATGGTGTTTGGTTTGGTTTGGTGCTGGGGGTCAAGGCCAGGGCTGAGTATGCTGAGCATTAGCACTGAGCTACTTCCCCCAGCCAGGGCCCACACTTTTTTTTTTTTTTTT